TCATCTATTTATTATATATATATATATATATATATATATATGGGAAAATCTAGGAACAGCCCACTAGTTGACAGTTGCAGTGTAAGCCCAACAGCCCAGATTGAATATGGTTCGATCTGACGGTCACAACCTCATTTTGTAATATAATTTTAATATTTTTTCTACAAATCTGAATCACATGTTTTAGATGTCTATTCCTCTCATTTTGGCGCACCCAATAAAAATATTAAAAATAATTTCCAAAAAATAGATCGACCAAAACACCCCTAAAACTTTAGGGGGTGTTTTTGGTCAATTTATTTTTTGCGCATTATTTTTTGATATTTTTATTAGTTTCTCCTATTTTTAAAGAATAGATGCTCAAAATTTCAAGTGATTTGGATTTGTAGAAAGAAAAATTAAAATTAAAATACGAAATGTAATCGTGACCATTGGATCGGCCCAGATTCAATCTGGACCATTGGGCTTACACTGTAGATGTTAGCTAGTGGGCTGTTCCCAGCTTTTCCATATATACGGGCCATAGCATGTCTGTGGCGGTTTTGCCTTAAAAACCGCCACAGATCTACAGAAGCCGTAGCGGTTTCCCCCTTTGTTTTCTTGAAAAAATACTGCCACGGACATGCTATGTCCGTTGTGGTCTTTTGATCCACTCCATTGGTCTTTTAATCCACACCGTCCAAAAAAATTGAACGGTACTAAGCCTATGGGCGAAAACACTTATCATTTTTGCCTATAGGCGTTGCGTAGTGGCTTCCTATATATCATTTTTGGTCAATCTACTTTTTTGGGAATTATTTTTTAATATTTTTATTGGGTGCGCTAAAATGAGAGGAATAGGCATCTAAAACATGTGATTCAGATTTGTTTCAAAAAAAAATTAACATTATATTACAAAATGAGGTTGTGACCATCAGACCGGACTAGATTCAATCTGGGCCGTTGGGCTTACACTGCAGCTGTCAGCTAGTGGGTTGTTCCCAGATTTTCTAGTATTATTTGTCTACCCTTGTATATGGATTTAAACTGAATCCTAGTATTATTTATCTATTTGTTTATCTAAGAATAGGATTTCTAAGATTTGTATGAGATTAGTATAGGGTTTATGTGCAAGAATTTGATGTATTTTTTGTTTGCAGGTCTCTTAACACATATATAGGTACAATGGTTCCCTTTCTAATCTGCTCCTTAAGTGTGTGTTCCCAAACCGAAATACCAGTGTTTTGGTTCTTTTTTTTTTTTTTATTAGCAATTTTTTCGTATGTCTTGTTTGAAAATAAAAAGTTTAGTAGGCTTCTACATGCATCTTCGTGAATCATTTTTTTTCCTTTTATCATTAAAAAATTGCTTATCCGGGTGTTTCATGATCACAAAGATCTATTTCCCTTTGATCTGTAAATTTTAAATCGAACACTATAGGGATTCTCTACTAAAGTCTCATAGATATATGTGTGTGTGTTGTATTCATCATTATTAATCCTTTTTTGATTTTTTTAGATGGATTTACAAGGGCAGAAGCTCTCAGAGCATCTGATGCAGATCCTGCTGGTGGTGTTTGCCATAGCGGCATTCACCACTGGTTACATGACAGGTTCCTTCGAAAACATGCTTCTTATATCTGTTGGAGGTGCAGTTCTAACCTTGTTGATCACTGTACCTGACTGGTCCTTCTTCAATCGCCACCCACTCAACTGGTTAGCAAGCCAGGAGGCTGAACAGAATCCAAAGCCTAAGCTCCAACCCTCACCTTCCAAAAGGTTTACAAAGAAGACTTCTTCCAAGTAGAACTCATTAGCAATTACCTAATTTCACGCATTTTCTTGATAGCCAACAGTTGTGATGGCACTTGCTGTGTGATACTTTTTGATAATGAGGAGCAGTGTTTCCCTCACTTCTTTTAATTTGATTCACGATTAGGGGATGTATTTTATCTTTTTATGATTGTTCTTGTGGAATTTACTATGATTTGCATCCTGCTGTGGTTACCTTACTCGGCTGTGGACTTCATTTTGCACTCTCTAGTGGGCATTCTCCTGTTTGATGAAGGCTTGTAGTAGCTGGTTTTTACTGATAGTGTGCATGCGAGTATGTATGAAAGATGATCAGATTTGAATTGAATATGAAATATATCAGTAGTCTGAGAGTTCCATATCAAGCTGCAAATCTGAACTTTTGGATTTGTGAAAGGAATCTAACAAAGTTGGTTTTTAATCCTAAATTAATGTTGATATTCTCGGAACTAATGGTTTAAATTGATAAAGCATTTGCATTGGGTTCAAATATAGGTATTCATGTTTGGAAAAAGTTTCTATAAGGTTGAGGCCCTAAATGATCAAATTAAGGCATACTTCAAAAATTTACTAGAAGAAGTTGTTTGAATGCTGAAAAATGCTCAAATCCTATCATCTCGACCTTGATAATGAACATACAAAAGAAATGGACTTCAAATCTTGGAAATTGTTTGTCTTGAAATTCATTATCTAGAATGTTGATTTTTTAGATTTGTATGTGTTCTTAACTTCATATATCTGCTTGATCTATAGAACTAATGGTTTAAATTGATAAAGCACTTCCATTGGGTTCAAGTATAGGTAATTCCTTTTTGGAAAAAGTTAATTTAAGGTTGAGGCCATAAACGATCAAATTAATGTGCACCTCAAAAACTCACTAGAAGAAGTTTCGATGTTAAAAAAATGCTCGAATCTGATCATCTCGACTCTGATAACGAACATACAAAAAATAATGGATTTTAAATCTTGAAAATAGTATATCTTGTAATGCATTATCTAGAACGTTAATTTTTAAGATTTTTCAGTATTTGCATGTATGTTTGATTTGCACAATTTTTGAAGCTTTAAATTTGATAATTAGAGATGAAAATAAAATTTTAGGTTATTATGAAGATTTTCAGTACTTAAAACATCTTTTGACATTGTTTGAAGTTGGCTTTACTTTGATTGTTTTGTTATACAAACCTTCTTTAAATATTTATTTTTTAACGCTTTAATTTTGATAAAAAATAATATCGATGATGATGTCTTAAGGCCACAGATAAGGTAATGGTTGGCTGAAAATAAAAAATGAATCTGCATTTTAACTCGGAGTATTTTTTGTTACACCTTTGACCACCCTCAAGCACCGGCAAGAGTCACTAGCTAATTTATGGGCACCGCGACCACGGGGAAGCCCTTTTTGTATATTGGTAGCTTGACCTATATAATCTTGAAGTTAAAATACCTTCGTGAAAATATTTTCACATGAAATAAGTCCCTTATGTGATTAGGTGTAGGGTTTTTTAACCACCAATTGGCTGCAAATTGGAGCAAAAAAAAATATTGTGGGATTGTTGGTTCAAAACAAAACCCACACCTAATTATATGAGGGAGTTTTTTAATGTGAAAATACTTTCACGAAAGTGTTTTCATGTACACCAAACGTGCCTTTAATATTAAAATTTGTATCAGTTGAATGCTTGTTGTGACAAAATTGTTTGATTCGAAAGTTGAAAGATTCATGAAAAGTTGTATTACTACTACCATTAATTATATGATAGGAAAATATGTCTTGTTTCGGATAGATGTGTGTCAAAATTTTGATGAAATTTAGATAAGGGTGCAGTTGGCATATGGACGCCTCCGTAGGTGTAGAGGTAAGGTGCCTTTCAAATTTTATCATGATATATAATTTTGATGTAAAATGTTATTAGGATTATCTCAAAATCTATTTTTATATATAATTATAAATTTAAATTTAAAAACGTTAAAATCAAGTAGATCTATAAC